ATATATATATATATATATATATGTGTGTGTGTATATTTTATATATTATAAATAATATATATATTAACAAAATAAATGGTTTATAATTTTTTTAACAAAATTTGTTTGTATATATATTTAAAATGTAAATTATTATTATTACTATTAATGATAACATCTACATTTTAGAATTACATTCAAAATTAAGGGTACAGTTTACACATTTTTGAGCATTAATTGCTAAAATAAAATGATCAGACCTTAAAAGTCTCCTCTTTGACCCTATATTGAGTCTATGTACTCCTCTATCTGATGTTGAAGTTATTAGGCCTGCAGGAACAGCATTATCTGATGTGAGGAATGGCAGGATCACAGACAGGGTTCTTATGATGTGACGTTTCCTATCAGATCAGCGTTTTTGTAGGGGAGGTGTTTCCATGCCGAGCTCACACTTTCCTCCTCGTACACAGAAGAGAATGGAGGTATAACTGCAGACCGGAGATCCCTTCTAGAGGGTTGGGTTCTCCAAAGATTCAGACAGGAAGTGACGCCCCCTGTGTCTGCGTCTTAATCACCACTGTGCTGCGGATGCTTTCTTTCCCTCAGTCAAAGCAAATCAATTTTCATAGTTTTGTAGGATGTTGTGTAATCTTTCAAAGGTTGGGCTTTCAGTCGTTATTAAAGCGGTAATGTTTTAGCATTAAAACATAGCACTCTTTATTCTAATTATATTCTTTATAAAAAAAACTTGCCCCTTTTAGACTTGCACTCTAATTATTTGCTAACTGTTTGTTTTCTTTAAAAAAAAAAAAAGGAACACTCGCTTCTCTAATATTTTTGTATTCTATCTATTTGTTTTCTTTTTATTTATTATACAATTAACAAAAGCAAAAAAGGCCTCTAACACTAGCTTGCTCTATTCTTTCTCTATTCTATCTGGTTTCTTTTTATTTATTATGAAAAAAAAAAAAACTTGCTACGTGTACTGCATTAAGCTAACTGTGACGATAAAAAAAAAAACTTGCTACGTGTACTGCATTAAGCTAACTGTGACTTGTTATAGCACTTGCATATCATTGCTCTTTTGTTGATTTTGATTACTTCCATTGTCCTCATTTGTAAGTCGCTTTGGATAAAAGCGTCTGCTAAATGTAAATGTAATGTGTTAATGAATGTTTTGGTTGTTTGATTTAGCAGAGAGTATCAGTTTCCCCAAGTGGCCACAGGGTGGAGGCATTGAGTCATTTACTGTCAAAATCAGTGTGAAATTTGTTTTATATTAGTAATATTTTTATTGTGATTATTTGTTAATGTAAACAGCAGCTTTTGTAAAACCTGAAATAAATAAAAACCTTGAACTTAAAGCAATAAAATCTTTTTATATAATCTACCATTCAAAAGTTTGGTGTTGGTGAGATTTTTTAAATGGCTTTGAAGAAAAGTCTCTTATGCTCAAAAAATATAGTAAAACAGTCATCTTTTTTTTAATTATTACAATTCAAACTAACTGTTTTCGAATGGTTTTTGACCACTAAAATGTGTACAATTGAAAAAATTTACTTCTGGAGCCAAATTGAAATTACAGTATCTCTGGGACTGAAAGATATAGGGCCTTAAAGGGTTAGTTCACCCAAAAATGAAAATTCTGTCATTAATTACTCACCCTCGTGTTGTTCCAAACCCGTAAGACCTCCGTTCATCTTCGGAACACAAATTAAGATATTTTTGATGAAATCTGAGGAAGGGCTGCACAATTAATCTAATTTCTAATTGCGATTACATCCAGCCCTATTGGCACATAATGCAACAAAGATTGCTAAAGTCAACAGATTTTACTAATAAACCAGCCAATCTCTGTGTAAAAATAACAGAAAAATATATAGATGCTGCCATCTTTCTAAAGTCATTTTTTACTCCCCTGAAATTTGGCTTTGAATCTCAGGTGAAAATTGTTATTTTGACCCTCTGCAAAATAGTGTATTACTCTAAATATACATTGACAACATTTAAGAATTTGGCTTTCATCACTGTACATGTTTATCTTTCTTCAGAAAAAAATATTGACAAAAGCCAATCTCTGTGTAAAAATAACAGAAAAATATATAGATGCTGCCATCTTTCTAAAGTCATTTTTTACTCCCCTGAAATTTGGCTTTGAATCTCAGGTGAAAATTGTTATTTTGACCCTCCTCTGCAAAATAGTGTATTACTCTAAATATACATTGACAACATTTAAGAATTTGGCTTTCATCACTGTACATGTTTATCTTTCTTCAGAAAAAAATATTGACAAATCAAAAATTAGAGTTTCTGAAATTTGGTTTATTTCAGGGGTTCTCAAAGTCTACATTCAAAGGTCCAAATCTAATTTTCATCAGTGTCAAAGGTCCGGACTGGAACAATTGGTTATTACAAAACTTGTTTTTAATAAACATAGGCTACATAACATGCATAACAAATAAACATTAATTTTTTGAAAAAAAAAAAAGTGCCCTTTGCATTCAAAATACATTAATAGCAAGTGCAAAAGTGGCAAAACAATTAATTTAAGTGTCAGCAATAGAGGTCGACCGATAA